ACTATTTAATTGTAGAACCAGACTGGGAGTGTTTGCGTGCAAAAAACAAATTGCTTCTAAGCTGAAAATTGTTCACTGCGCCGCCTAGTCTGAAAACCGGATGTACTTGGAACAGTTTTTATTAATGGAGTTTTTTTTCATATGTCTTGCTGGATAAGAAATCACATGTTTTTTTGTGGCAGCTCATTTGAGCTCAAACCGTGGTTCAGCTACCTAAGGTTGCGCGGAAAGAACATCATACGCCATTGTTCATCCTTTGACTGAGTACTAGTTACTACAGGGTAGTTTCAGGAGGGACTTCTAACTTATTAAAGTTTTTTCTACATAGTAAGTTTTTTTTCGGCTCAACTGTTGTCTGTTCTATGATTGTCGGCCCTGGTTCCGCTTCGTAAGTTTTTTCCAGTTGCTAATTTGAATTTATGGTGTCTTGCTTGGCATGTTTGCTTAGAATTCTTGTTTGATAAAAAAAGGTAATATGAAAGTGTAAGGGTTTTTTTTCATTTTCTCAGATGCTTTGATAATTTTAATTCTTTTTTCAAAAAAGAAGAAGTATACATTGAAAGATCCCTACATTTTTGTGTGCCTGCATACTCCCCTGGTCGCTTTTTGTTTTTCTTTTTGTCTACAGCCTTCGAAAACATCTGTGGGGGAATACTCAACCGATATTTTTTTCGTTTCCCAAATCTGATATTTGGGTTTCAATGAATCGAACGGAATTGAAAAGCTCCCCTCAATAAGCGGTTAGCACATAAATTATGGCCCTCGGAATATTCAAATTTTTGGTTTTTTGACCGTTTCGTAAATATTTTTCAATTTTTTCTCAAAAACTAAACTCCCACACCGGAGTTTGTGGATTCAATGGAGATAACTGGCAGTGGGAAGCTCCCCTGCATTAGCGGTGCCACTCACAGTTTTACCCAAAGAGTTATCGTCCTCGGAAAAACCATTTTTTCTTAATTTTAGAGCATTTTTTTTAACAAAATTTGGTAAATTTAACCAAAAATACCCTTCAATGTCTGAGATTTTGGGTTCAATCCAAAGAACGAGTTGTGGTAAGCTTCTTTGCATAGGTGACTACGCCCAAATTTTTTATACAACGCAAATTATGACCCTCGGAAAAATCAAAGTTTTGATTTTTTGACCGTTTTTTGAAACATCTTGTCGTTTCTCGAGAACTACCCGGACAAACCTCGGTTTTTGTGTTCAATCGAAACAACAGTTTGGAAGAATTTCTTTTACATCTGCGGCTACGGCTATTTTTGTAAAACATAAAGTTATGATTCTCGGAATTGTCAACTCTTCGATTTGTTGACCGTTTGTTTGGTTTTTTCTCGAGAACTATTCTGCCAAATGTGATATCAGAGGTTTAATTGACCCAACATGTTGTTGGAAGCCTAACTTTATAATTTTCTACGCCCAGTTTCTGCTAGAAAAAAAGCTATGGCCTTAAAATAAGTAAAAGTTTTGAAAATTATACCGTTTTTTTTTTTTAATTTTTTTTTACCTGGCTCGAAAATTACTTGACAGTTTTCAGGTTAGGTGTTCAAGCGAGAAATGCGGTTTTAGAAATCCTCTTACTTTACTGGCCACGGCCTGCGTTTAGCAGAAAAAAGTTACTGATTTTTGAATTTTGACTATTTTATAGAAATTTTTTGACTTTTCTTAAAAATTACCTTATCAAATCTGAGATAAAAATATCAATCGAAAGAAGCGGTTGCGCGAGTTTTTCCTGAAGAAGCGGCTACCTCCCAATTTTTTTGTAAGAGAAAGGCTAGGTTTTTGGAAAAATTTCAAAAATTTCTTCCGTATCACTTCAGTTGAGAAACTACTAAATTTTGGGGTTTTTTTTCAACATTTTTCTTTTTTTTCGACTCATGCTTTTTTATGATTGTGTTGCATGGCATGTGGTGCGAAGCTCCGCTTTGCCTCTGTGTAATAAAATTTCAATCACAGGGGCGGTGTAGGCGGCACCCTTAGGGATTCGACTCTACGAACCAAAGGGACCCCCCTTTGGTGTCACTCCATGACATCCATATTCGGCCGATCAAACCTAATGTTTATCTAAAGACACCTTTGACGCTGATAAATGCTAATTTTGAAGGGGAGAACACAAAACGCGATTCTTCAATCAAAACTTTCAAGGTTTTCATGGGAAGAACAAAAAGGTGATTTTTTGGTCAATACGGCATTTTGACCTGTTTTTTAAAAATCTGCGTGCGCCGCCAAACATTTTGTGAAAATAGAGTCTTTTTAATGTTTTTAGGAATGCTCGCAACTTCAATTTGGTTGACCCAAAAAAAAGGTTGACAATTTTTTCGATCATATTTGATTTTGATTAGCAAGCTAGTCAAACGGGGGCATAGATTTTTAAGATAATTTAAGATAATACAAAAACTTGTCACATAATCCAGCTACAACTAAAGCCGTTAAACTGTTCAACGCTGAAATCAAGCATTTGATCACAATGCTCATAAGCATTTCAAATTTAACAACTGGTTCTGCCCTTTGGTCAGTTTTCTCATTAAAGCTAATGAAGAAACTTGGTCAGTTTTAAAGAAAGTTTTATGTAGTTTTCCCTATTAAGTTATATCGGCTTCATATAAAATATTTAGTTGCTCTATTCAAAAACGTATAAAATTTGTGTGCGAGTGTTTTCATCGTAAGTGTCTTTACACTTGCCATTACATGCCATTACTAAGGGTATTGCAACTGGGTCTAAACTTTTTGACAGTGAAAAAATTATTTAACCAATTTACTAGCGTATCAAGTTGCTGCTACTCAAGCCGCTAAGCGTAGTCGACCTTTTTGTTAGGTTGACTTTTTTAGTTGACCAAATTGATTTTCCGAGCACTCCCAGAACACTATAAAGACCTCATTTTGACATCTTTGCGCCTCAGTCATTTGTTTAAAACAACAAGTCAAAAGTTCAAACAGGAATGTGTTTGAAAAAAAAAACAGGCCAAAAATTCCGTTTTTGGGCACTTCGTGGAAAATTTTGACAAAAATAGCGTTTTTTTTGCGCGCACTCCCTTTCAAAATTAGTACATATTGGCGGCGAATGTCTTTATACTGTCTTTATATCAGGTGTTTATTTTTTTGGGCCGCAGACAATTTTTTGAAAAAACAGGCCAAAATTTCCATTTCTGGGCATATGGAAAATTTTGACCAAATTGAGTTTTTTTGCGCGCGCTCCTTTTCAAAATTAGGGTATATTGGTGCCAAATGTATTTATAGTGTCTTCATATAAGGTCTTTATATCTTGCGCGCAGGCAATTGTTTGAAAAAAAAACAGGCCAAAAATTCTGTTTCTGGGCACTTGAAAAATTTTGACAAAATTGAGTTTTTTTGCGCGCGCTCCGTTCAAAATTAGTATATATTGGCGCCGAATGTCTTTATAGTGTCTACATATAAGGTCTTTATATCTTGCGCCGCAGGCAATTGTTTGAAGAAAAAAAAACGTGCCAAAAATTCCGTTTCTGGGCACTTTTGGGTTTCGGGAAAGTTTCGGGCGCTAGCTTCCCTTCAAAATTGATTTATATGGCATCTTTAGAAAGAATTTGGGGTGGTTTGGCCGAAATCGGATGTCATAATGCCAAAGGGGGAACCTTTGTTTGGTATGAGGGTCAAATCCCTGAGCCCACATCCCCCTTCCCCCTAAATCCGCCCCTGCGTTGAGTTAAGTCACAAAATTTGATATGTAAAGTTTTAGTTGTCAGTATCTTTTGTCTTCTCATTTTCTGTTCCCATGACATGAATTTTTCTTGTGGCTTAAGTTAATTTCACATTAGCGAAGTTATTGTTCCGACCTTTGAAAATGGTGGCGAACTTTGTTTTCAGTGCGTTTTAGTTTCTTCGTTTTTTTTTTCGTTTTTCTACTAGTTTTTCTACAATTTTTTTTTCAATTTGCATGGTTTACTATGGCTGTCGAATATACCTAATCTTCCGTTTTTTGTTTTGCTCCTTTTATTACACCACGTCGGAAAAAAACGAAAGTAATTTGAAAAAAAAAACTATCTTCTTAAGACTATGGTCGGAACATTTTGTGCTACTTGCGCAGTAACCGGCTATACTTATTTCTTTTTTTTCTTTTTGTTTTCTGCGCTAAATTAGGTACCTTAAATAATCATCGGATTGGGTTGAGTGATACATCATATTAAAGCCCTTTTAGTCGTGATTTCAACGACATTAAAACATTTTGAAAATTTTTTTTCGGTGTCGAGAAAAACCAGTTTGAAATTTTTGACTCTGTCTAATTTCAAGCTAATATGATGAGGCTAAGCAGGCTAACCAAAGCTTATAAGCCGTGAAAATTTAGATTTATATGAGTAAAGATAGTTTTTGGAGTTTTTCAAAAATTTTCTGCTAAAGTGTTAGAATTTTTCAGCAATATTTGTTTTTCTAGTCATTTTTCTGCAAAAATTCTTTTCCAATGGGCCTATTTTACTATGAATGTCGAATATGTATAATTTAATTTTTTCGCTAGATCTTTTTATCACACCAAGCAGGAAAAAAACGACACTAATTTGAAATTTTTTTTTTCTGGTATTTTTACACAGGTCGGAAAATTCTGTGCTACTTGCACAGTATCAGGCTATCCTTGTTTTGATTTATTTATGTATGGAATCACTAAATGGAGCCATATGTCGTAAATTATCTGAAATTATGATGTTCTCATCTGATCACAAAACTTTTCGAAGAAAAAACATTTTCAAGTCTTATTTTAACAAATGATTCCATCGTCTATTTTTTGTTTACCCAATGAGCTTTCTTAATTTCAAAGTGTAATAGAAATTAGAATGATAGTCATTAGTATTTAAGTATTATTTTTTTTGAGAATAAGGAATATGTTGCGGTTCTCACAATAGCCTTTTTTTCAAAGGTTACTTTACATAGCATATATTCTCGTATCGCATTAGTAGAAAAATCGCTTGTGAATAATTGGAAAAAATGAATTCAAATGTGATAAACTAATGTATTAACTATGTAAAAAGTAAACGTACCAATCTTTGCTGTCGCAAGCCGTCCATCCCTGCTGCAAGTACTGCCGATAGTACTAGATATGGGTTTGCCGCTCCTGGGCTACGGAATTCCAAATATGTTTGGACATCTGATGTTTCTTTAATTCTCAACATGGCGCTCCGACTTTCGCGACTATAACATATTTCCGCTTGAGCTGATGCGACGCCACAGAACCTTCTGTAGCTGTTATTATTAGGACAGATTAAGGCGGTGATTCCAGCTGCATGCTCCATAATTCCAGATATCCAGTATTTCGCCAGCTCTGATAATGCTACTTGGTCAGAACCGTCTGTCAAAGCATTCTGACCATCTTTCCATAACGAAAAATTGAAATGCCCTCCGTTGAAAACTCCTTCTGAAGGACAGCAGATGTATGCTGCCTCGTACCCGTATTCGAATGCGGTCGATTTAACACAGTCTTTATGCAGACATGCGTCATCAGCAGAACCTATTCCATACTTGGGCTGCATTGTCATTTCTATTTGACCATCAAAAGCCTCAGAGTGAAAACTTTCTATGGACACACCGGCTTCTTGTAGTCTTTTTGTAATCTAACCAAGTGCTTTTTATTACGTTACTAATTTCTAGATTTTATCGCAAATTTTGATCCAAATTTATTGTTTTCCAATATTTTAGTGCCGTTAAAGTTTTACTTGGAGGTTCAAATTTTTGAGTCCGTATTTCTTTTAGCAGGAGTACTCGTATTCACTTCCATCTTGAGAAAGAAAAATGTGCTGTAAATCATGAAGACATTGAAGGTTTATTTGTTAACTGTGTACTTTCTAAATACTTACTCTGTGATTTAGAAAATTTTATTGGTCAGCGCAGGAAATGTATGGTAAAGAAATCAATTTAGAAGGCAAGATGCAACAAGGATAACCAGTTGCTGTGCAAGTAGCACAGAATGTTCCGAGCACTTTCTTAGAATTTTTTTTCAAGTTATTGTCTTTTCTTGTACGTTGTGTGATGATAGAGCTATACAAACGCGCTGAAGTTATGTGAGTTACGCATAAACTACTTCAATTGTCATCAAAAAAATAATTAAAAATTGGTAATTTTAATATATAACGAAAGTTACTCGATCCCTTCACTTGCTCGAAAATAGACGAAAAATCAAAAATTTCGAACCGGTTTTTTTCAACACTGGGTAAATTTTTCGGAATATTCAAATTGTCCTTCGAATCACGACTGAATGATATATCACTCGATCCAGTCCGATGATTTTTTGTGGTACCTGATTTTGATGGAAAACAAAAAAGAAAAAAAGAAACTAAAAAACACCTGAATACAAAGTTCCTACCCGTTTTCAATGGTCGGACAAAAACGTCGCGGGAAATTGACCCGGTCTCTAGCAGGAATCTATCATTATACATATATATTTTTTTGATAAAGCACTTCGTGCCTCGAAGCAAATGTCTTCCGTTTTCTTCAAGTTGAAAGCCGAACAGCTGTGTCCTGCAATTCCGAGAGGATTCTTGTCTTTGGTTAAAACGAACTCGTACTCCAGTGCCGAATATAGTTCAAGTCCGAACTCAGTTTTCAAATGATTGAGTAACTTGACACAAATGCCTCTGGAGTCGAATGAGTTGGGCTTGGAGTCCTTGCCGAGCTCGTGCATTTGGCACAATACCTGAGCCACTTTAGATTTTCCGTTTCCGGACCATGGACAAGAATGCCAAGTTTCTATTACCGGAATTAGATTGTTATTAGGAGAGCCTCTGGCGATGATATGAGGTATAATCGGTGGTTTTGAGTCGATTCCGAATATGGCATAAAGAGAGTTCATCCCGACTCCTGATTTTTGAAAGGAACGATAAGAATTTCTGGGTACCACTTTGCCCCTAGGGACACCATTGGTGTCACACCAGGTAAATCGAATGAAGTCGAACTCTTCCCAGTTCTCATCCTGTGTCATTCTGACTGATGACCTTTTGCAGCCAGAAATTACAAGCTGAACTTTTTTGCTAGTCTTAAAAGAAGATAAAAAGAGTAAACAAATTTTTATAAATGCGCTACTGGGCCTTAATGTACTTAATGAATTAACTGCGCATGAGTCATAGCATTTAATCGTTGGTTGTTGTAACGATAAAAAGAGCGAGTGAAAGCGTGTTTAATTTAACATCTACGAAATTGTAAATTAGTCGCTTTGATGAAGTTTAGCAAATTCGTGTGAACTGAACTTATCTAAAACTTACCAGCGGAAAGCGACAACGCTCATCAAAAGACAACTCGCAGATATTCTATTGTTCTTCAGGCGTTGTTTTGTTGCGAATTACGCCAGAATTACAAGATTCTACTGATTCAGACTTCTCAAATTGTGTCATTTTTTTTTATCAAAAAAAGTTCCAATAAAAAGTCTTGAAAATCAAAGATTTTTAAGGTGACGAAAAATTGTTTTCTGAAACTCAGGTTTTCTTTTAAAAATTTTTACGCTCGCGAGAATAAAGCGTTATGCGTTATCAAATCGGAACCATTTTTTTATGTGAACACATTTACTAACAGAATAGCGTTTTTTTTGCGCGCACTCCCCTTCAAAATTGGAAAAAATGAATTCAAATGTGATAAACTAATGTATTAACTATGTAAAAAGTAAACGTACCAATCTTTGCTGTCGCAAGCCGTCCATCCCTGCTGCAAGTACTGCCGATAGTACTAGATATGGGTTTGCCGCTCCTGGGCTACGGAATTCCAAATATGTTTGGACATCTGATGTTTCTTTAATTCTCAACATGGCGCTCCGACTTTCGCGACTATAACATATTTCCGCTTGAGCTGATGCGACGCCACAGAACCTTCTGTAGCTGTTATTATTAGGACAGATTAAGGCGGTGATTCCAGCTGCATGCTCCATAATTCCAGATATCCAGTATTTCGCCAGCTCTGATAATGCTACTTGGTCAGAACCGTCTGTCAAAGCATTCTGACCATCTTTCCATAACGAAAAATTGAATTGCCCTCCGTTGAAAACTCCTTCTGAAGGACAGCAGATGTATGTTGCCTCGTACCCGTATTCGAATGCGGTCGATTTAACACAGTCTTTATGCAGACATGCGTCATCAGCAGAACCTATTCCATACTTGGGCTGCATTGTCATTTCTATTTGACCATCAAAAGCCTCAGAATGAATACTTTCTATGGACACACCGGCTTCTTGTCGTCTTTTTGTAATCTAACCAAGTGCTTTTTATTACGTTACTAATTTCTAGATTTTATCGCAAATTTTGATCCAAATTTATTGTTTTCCAATATTTTAGTGCCGTTAAAGTTTTACTGGGAGGTTCAAATTTTTGAGTCCGTATTTCTTTTAGCAGGAGTACACGTATTCACTTCCATCTTGAGAAAGAAAAAATGTGCTGTAAATCATGAAGACATTGAAGGTTTATTTGTTAACTGTGTACTTTCTAAATACTTACTGTGATTTAGAAAATTTTATTGGTCAGCGCAGGAAATGTATGGTAAAGAAATCAATTTAGAAGGCAAGATGCAACAAGGATAACCAGTTGCTGTGCAAGTAGCACAGAATGTTCCGAGCACTTTCTTAGATTTTTTTTTCAAGTTATTGTCTTTTCTTGTACGTTGTGTGATGATAGAGCTATACAAACGCGCTGAAGTTAAGTGAGTTACGCATAAACTACTTCAATTGTCATCAAAAAAATAATTGAAAATTGGTAATTTTCATATATAACGAAAGTTACTCGATCCCTTCACTTGCTCGAAAATAGACGAAAAATCAAAAATTTCGAACCGGTTTTTTTCAACACTGGGTAAATTTTTCGGAATATTCAAATTGTCCTTCGAATCACGACTGAATGATATATCACTCGATCCAGTCCGATGATTTTTTGTGGTACCTGATTTTGATGGAAAACAAAAAAGAAAAAAAGAAACTAAAACACACCTGAATACAAAGTTCCTACCCGTTTTCAATGGTCGGACAAAAACGTCGCGGGAAATTGACCCGGTCTCTAGCAGGAATCTATCATTATCCATATATATTTTTTTGATAAAGCACTTCGTGCCTCGAAGCAAATGTCTTCCGTTTTCTTCAAGTTGAAAGCCGAACAGCTGTGTCCTGCAATTCCGAGAGGATTCTTGTCTTTGGTTAAAACGAACTCGTACTCCAGTGCCGAATATAGTTCAAGTCCGAACTCAGTTTTCAAATGATTGAGTAACTTGACACAAATGCCTCTGGAGTCGAATGAGTTGGGCTTGGAGTCCTTGCCGAGCTCGTGCATTTGGCACAATACCTGAGCCACTTTAGATTTTCCGTTTCCGGACCATGGACAAGAATGCCAAGTTTCTATTACCGGAATTAGATTGTTATTAGGAGAGCCTCTGGCGATGATATGAGGTATAATCGGTGGTTTTGAGTCGATTCCGAATATGGCATAAAGAGAGTTCATCCCGACTCCTGATTTTTGAAAGGAACGATAAGAATTTCTGGGTACCACTTTGCCCCTAGGGACACCATTGGTGTCACACCAGGTAAATCGAATGAAGTCGAACTCTTCCCAGTTCTCATCCTGTGTCATTCTGACTGATGACCTTTTGCAGCCAGAAATTACAAGCTGAAATTTTTTGCTAGTCTTAAAAGAAGATAAAAAGAGTAAACAAGTTTTTATAAATGCGCTACTGGGCCTTAATGTACTTAATGAATTAACTGCGCATGAGTCATGGCATTTAATCGTTGGTTGTTGTAACGATAAAAAGAGCGAGTGAAAGCGTGTTTAATTTAACATCTACGAAATTGTAAATTAGTCGCTTTGATGAAGTTTGGCCAATTCGTGTGAACTGAACTTATCTAAAACTTACCAGCGGAAAGCGACAACGCTCATCAAAAGACAACTCGCAGATATTCTAATGTTTTTCAGGCGTTGTTTTGTTGCCAATTACGCCAGAATTACAAGATTCTACTGATTCAGACTTCTCAAATTGTGTTATTTTTTATCAAAAAAAGTTCCAATAAAAAGTCTTGAAAATCAAAGATTTTTAAGGTGACGAAAAATTGTTTTCTGAAACTCAGGTTTTCTTTTAAAAAATTTTACGCTCGCGAGAATAAAGCGTTATGCGTTATCAAATCGGAACCATTTTTTTATGTGAACACATTTACTAACAGAATCATTCAATCATTTCGGAAGTTTTCTTTATTACACTTGCGAAAGCAAGTGTATTGTAATCGGGGGCTTTTTTCCCGTATAAAACTTCAAGCTTTTTCATGTATTAAAAGTTCTAATTGCTTTACTTACTTGCTATTTTTATTGAATCTTAACAACTTCGAGGTTCATTCCCACTTGGCCTACAGCTAGCTTCGTTGCCTTTGCATTCTAAGGCCAGGGGTTTGAGTACCGGTCGGACCTTTTATTTTTTTGTGTGTTTGCAATTGAAATATCGGGAAAAAATGAATTGTCGGACTATCCTTTGTCTGTCCAAGTTTTGTCGGCTTAGCTGCTACATTGAACATCATACGCCATTGTTCATCCTTTGACTGAGTACTAGTTACTACAGGGTAGTTTCAGGAGGGACTTCTAACTTATTAAAGTTTTTTCTACATAGTAAGTTTTTTTTCGGCTCAACTGTTGTCTGTTCTATGGTTGTCGGCCCTGGTTCCGCTTCGTAAGTTTTTTCCAGTTGCTAATTTGAATTTATGGTGTCTTGCTTGGCATGTTTGCTTAGAATTCTTGTTTGATAAAAAAAGGTAATATGAAAGTGTAAGGGTTTTTTTTTTCATTTTCTCAGATGCTTTGATAATTTTAATTCTTTTTTCAAAAAAGAAGAAGTATACATTGAAAGATCCCTACATTTTTGTGTGCCTGCATACTCCCCTGGTCGCTTTTTGTTTTTCTTTTTGTCTACAGCCTTCGAAAACATCTGTGGGGGAATACTTAACCGATATTTTTTTTGTTTCCCAAATCTGATATTTGGGTTTCAATGAATAGAACGGAATTGAAAAGCTCCCCTCAATAAGCGGTTATGTCAAAAACTTCTTGCACATAAATTATGGCCCTCGGAATATTCAAATTTTTGGTTTTTTGACCGTTTCGTAAATATTTTTCAATTTTTTCTCAAAAACTAAACTCCCACACCGGAGTTTGTGGATTCAATGGAGATAACTGGCAGTGAGAAGCTCCCCTGCATTAGCGGTGCCACTCACAGTTTTACCCAAAGAGTTATCGTCCTCGAAAAAACCATTTTTTCTTAATTTTAGAGCATTTTTTTTTTTACAAAATTTGGTAAATTTAACCAAAAATACCCTTCAATGTCTGAGATTTTGGGTTCAATCTAAAGAACGAGTTGTGGTAAGCTTCTTTGCATAGGTGACTACGCCCAAATTTTTTATACAACGCAAATTATGACCCTCGGAAAAATCAAAGTTTTGATTTTTTGACCGTTTTTTGAAACATCTTGTCGTTTCTCGAGAACTACCCGGCCAAACCTCGGTTTTTGTGTTCAATCGAAACAACAGTTTGGAAGAATTTCTTTTACATCTGCGGCTACGGCTATTTTTGTAAAACATAAAGTTATGATTCTCGGAATTGTCAACTCTTCGATTTGTTGACCGTTTGTTTGGTTTTTTCTCGAGAACTATTCTGCCAAATGTGATATCAGAGGTTTAATTGACCCAACATGTTGTTGGAAGCCCAACTTTATAATTTGCTACGCCCAGTTTCTGCTAGAAAAAAAGCTATGGCCTTAAAATAAGTAAAAGTTTTGAAAATTATACCGTTTTTTTTTTTTAAATTTTTTTTACCTGGCTCGAAAATTACTTGACAGTTTTCAGGTTAGGTGTTCAAGCGAGAAATGCGGTTTTAGAAATCCTCTTACTTTACTGGCCACGGCCTGCGTTTAGCAGAAAAAAGTTACTGATTTTTGAATTTTGACTATTTTATAGAAATTTTTTGACTTTTCTTAAAAATTACCTTATCAAATCTGAGATAAAAATATCAATCGAAAGAAGCGGTTGCGCGAGTTTTTCCTGAAGAAGCGGCTACTTCCCAATTTTTTTGTAAGAGAAAGGCTAGGTTTTTGGAAAAATTTCAAAAATTTCTTCCGTATCACTTCAGTTGAGAAACTACTAAATTTTGGGGTTTTTTTTCAACATTTTTCTTTTTTTTCGACTCATGCTTTTTTATGATTGCGTTGCATGGCATGTGGTGCGAAGCTCCGCTTTGCCTCTGTGTAATAAAATTTCAATCACAGGGGCGGTGTAGGCGGCACCCTTAGGGATTCGACTCTACGAACCAAAGGGACCCCCCTTTGGTGTCACTCCATGACATCCATATTCGGCCGATCAAACCTAATGTTTATCTAAAGACACCTTTGACGCTGATATTTGCTAATTTTGAAGGGGAGAACAAAAAACGCGATTCTTCAATCAAAACTTTCAAGGTTTTCATGGGAAGAACAAAAACGTGATTTTTTGGTTAATACGGCATTTTGACCTGTTTTTTAAAAATCTGCGTGCGCCGCCAAACATTTTGTGAAAATAGAGTCTTTTTAATGTTTTTAGGAATGCTCGCAACTTCAATTTGGTTGACCCAAAAAAAGGTTGACAATATTTTCGATCATTTTTGATTTTGATTAGCAAGCTAGTCAAACAGGGGCATAGATTTTTAAGATAATTTAAGATAATACAAAAACTTGTCACATAATCCAGCTACAACTAAAGCCGTTAAACTGTTCAACGCTGAAATCAAGCATTTGATCACAATGCTCATAAGCATTTCAAATTTAACAACTGGTTCTGCCCTTTGGTCAGTTTTCTCATTTAAGCTAATGAAGAAACTTGGTCAGTTTTAAAGAAAGTTTTATGTAGTTTTCCCTATTAAGTTATATCAGCTTCATATAAAATATTTAGTTGCTCTATTCAAAAACGTATAAAATTTGTGTGCGAGTGTTTTCATCGTAAGTGTCTTTACACTTGCCATTACATGCCATTACTAAGGGTATTGCAACTGGGTCTAAACTTTTTGACAGTGAAAAAATTATTTAACCAATTTACTAGCGTATCAAGTTGCTGCTACTCAAGCCGCTAAGCGTAGTCGACCTTTTTGTTAGGTTGACTTTTTTAGTTGACCAAATTGATTTTCCGAGCACTCCCAGAACACTATAAAGACCTCATTTTGACATCTTTGCGCCTCAGTCATTTGTTTAAAACAACAAGTCAAAAGTTCAAACAGGAATGTGTTTGAAAAAAAAAACAGGCCAAAAATTCCGTTTTTGGGCACTTCGTGGAAAATTTTGACAAAAATAGCGTTTTTTTTGCGCGCACTCCCCTTCAAAATTAGTATATATTGGCGGCGAATGTCTTTATACTGTCTTTATATCAGGTATTTATTTTTTTGGGCCGCAGACAATTTTTTGAAAAAACAGGCCAAAATTTCCATTTCTGGGCATATGGAAAATTTTGACCAAATTGAGTTTTTTTGCGCGCGCTCCTTTTCAAAATTAGGGTATATTGGTGCCAAATGTATTTATAGTGTCTTCATATAAGGTCTTTATATCTTGCGCGCAGGCAATTGTTTGAAAAAAAAAACAGGCCAAAAATTCTGTTTCTGGGCACTTGAAAAATTTTGACAAAATTGAGTTTTTTTGCGCGCGCTCCGTTCAAAATTAGTATATATTGGCGCCGAATGTCTTTATAGTGTCTACATATAAGGTCTTTATATCTTGCGCCGCAGGCAATTGTTTGAAGAAAAAAAAACGTGCCAAAAATTCCGTTTCTGGGCACTTTTGGGTTTCGGGAAAGTTTCGGGCGCTAGCTTCCCTTCAAAATTGATTTATATTGGCATCTTTAGAAAGAATTTGGGGTGGTTTGGCCGAAATCGGATGTCATAATACCAAAGGGAGAACCTTTGTTTGGTATGAGGGTCAAATCCCTGAGCCCACATCCCCCTTCCCCCTAAATCCGTTAAGCACATGCTTAGGACGTCACAAAATTTGATATGTAAAGTTTTAGTTGTCAGTATCTTTTGTCTTCTCATTTTCTGTTCCCATGACATGAATTTTTCTTGTGGCTTAAGTTAATTTCACATTAGCGAAGTTATTGTTCCGACCTTTGAAAATGGTGGCGAACTTTGTTTTCAGTGCGTTTTAGTTTCTTCGTTTTTTTTTTCGTTTTTCTACTAGTTTTTCTACAATTTTTTTTTCAATTTGCATGGTTTACTATGGCTGTCGAATATACCTAATCTTCCGTTTTTTGTTTTGCTCCTTTTATCACACCACGTCGGAAAAAAACGAAAGTAATTTGAAAAAAAAACTATCTTCTTAAGACTATGGTCGGAACATTTTGTGCTACTTGCGCAGTAACCGGCTATACTTATTTCTTTTTTTTCTTTTTGTTTTCTGCGCTAAATTAGGTACCTTAAATAATCATCGGATTGGGTTGAGTGATACATCATATTAAAGCCCTTTTAGTCGTGATTTCAACGACATTAAAACATTTTGAAATTTTTTTTTCGGTGTCGAGAAAAACCAGTTTGAAATTTTTGACTCTGTCTAATTTCAAGCTAATATGATGAGGCTAAGCAGGCTAACCAAAGCTTATAAGCCGTGAAAATTTAGATTTATATGAGTAAAGATAGTTTTTGGAGTTTTTCAAAAAATTTCTGCTAAAGTTTTAGAATTTTTCAGCAATATTTGTTTTTCTAGTCATTTTTCTGCAAAAATTCTTTTCCAATGGGCCTATTTTACTATGAATGTCGAATATGTATAATTTAATTTTTTCGCTAGATCTTTTTATCACACCAAGCAGGAAAAAAACGACACTAATTTGAAATTTTTTTTTTCTGGTATTTTTACACAGGTCGGAAAATTCTGTGCTACTTGCACAGTATCAGGCTATCCTTGTTTTGATTTATTTATGTATGGAATCACTAAATGGAGCCATATGTCGTAAATTATCTGAAATTATGATGTTCTCATCTGATCACAAAACTTTTCGAAGAAAAAACATTTTCAAGTCTTATTTTAACAAATGATTCTATCGTCTATTTTTTGTTTACCCAATGAGCTTTCTTAATTTCAAAGTGTAATAGAAATTAGAATGATAGTCATTAGTATTTAAGTATTATTTTTTTTGAGAATAAGCAATATGTTGCGGTTCTCACAATAGCCTTTTTTTCAAAGGTTACTTTACATAGCATATATTCTCGTATCGCATTAGTAGAAAAATCGCTTGTGAATAATTGGAAAAAATGAATTCAAATGTGATAAACTAATGTATTAACTATGTAAAAAGTAAACGTACCAATCTTTGCTGTCGCAAGCCGTCCATCCCTGCTGCAAGTACTGCCGATAGTACTAGATATGGGTTTGCCGAAGCTCCTGGGCTACGGAATTCCAAATATGTTTGGACATCTGATGTTTCTTTAATTCTCAACATGGCGCTCCGACTTTCGCGACTATAACATATTTCCGCTTGAGCTGATGCGACGCCACAGAACCTTCTGTAGCTGTTATTATTAGGACAGATTAAGGCGGTGATTCCAGCTGCATGCTCCATAATTCCAGATATCCAGTATTTCGCCAGCTCTGATAATGCTACTTGGTCAGAACCGTCTGTCAAAGCATTCTGACCATCTTTCCATAACGAAAAATTGAAATGCCCTCCGTTGAAAACTCCTTCTGAAGGACAGCAGATGTATGTTGCCTCGTACCCGTATTCGAATGCGGTCGATTTAACACAGTCTTTATGCAGACATGCGTCATCAGCAGAACCTATTCCATACTTGGGCTGCATTGTCATTTCTATTTGACCATCAAAAGCCTCAGAATGAATACTTTCTATGGACACACCGGCTTCTTGTAGTCTTTTTGTAATCTAACCAAGTGCTTTTTATTACGTTACTAATTTCTAGATTTTATCGCAAATTTTGATCCAAATTTATTGTTTTCCAATATTTTAGTGCCGTTAAAGTTTTACTTGGAGGTTCAAATTTTTGAGTCCGTATTGTTTTTAGCAGGAGTACTCGTATTCACTTCCATCTTGAGAAAGAAAAATGTGCTGTAAATCATGAAGACATTGAAGGTTTATTTGTTAACTGTGTACTTTCTAAATACTTACTGTGATTTAGAAAATTTTATTGGTCAGCGCAGGAAATGTATGGTAAAGAAATCAATTTAGAAGGCAAGATGCAACAAGGATAACCAGTTGCTGTGCAAGTAGCACAGAATGTTCCGAGCACTTTCTTAGAATTTTTTTTCAAGTTATTGTCTTTTCTTGTACGTTGTGTGATGATAGAGCTATACAAACGCGCTGAAGTTAAGTGAGTTACGCAAAAACTACTTCAATTGTCATCAAAAAAATAATTAAAAATTGGTAATTTTAATATATAACGAAAGTTACTCGATCCCTTCACTTGCTCGAAAATAGACGAAAAATCAAAAATTTCGAACCGGTTTTTTTCAACACTGGGTAAATTTTTCGGAATATTCAAATTGTCCTTCGAATCACGACTGAATGATATATCACTCGATCCAGTCCGATGATTTTTTGTGGTACCTGATTTTGATGGAAAACAAAAAAGAAACTAAAACACACCTGAATACAAAGTTCCTACCCGTTTTCAATGGTCGGACAAAAACGTCGCGGGAAATTGACCCGGTCTCTAGCAGGAATCTATCATTATACATATATATTTTTTTGATAAAGCACTTCGTGCCTCGAAGCAAATGTCTTCCGTTTTCTTCAAGTTGAAAGCCGAACAGCTGTGTCCTGCAATTCCGAGAGGATTCTTGTCTTTGGTTAAAACGAACTCGTACTCCAGTGCCGAATATAGTTCAAGTCCGAACTCAGTTTTCAAATGATTGAGTAACTTGACACAAATGCCTCTGGAGTCGAATGAGTTGGGCTTGGAGTCCTTGCCGAGCTCGTGCATTTGGCACAATACCTGAGCCACTTTAGATTTTCCGTTTCCGGACCATGGACAAGAATGCCAAGTTTCTATTACCGGAATTAGATTGTTATTAGGAGAGCCTCTGGCGATGATATGAGGTATAATCGGTGGTTTTGAGTCGATTCCGAATATGGCATAAAGAGAGTTCATCCCGACTCCTGATTTTTGAAAGGAACGATAAGAATTTCTGGGTACCACTTTGCCCCTAGGGACACCATTGGTGTCACACCAGGTAAATCGAATGAAGTCGAACTCTTCCCAGTTCTCATCCTGTGTCATTCTGACTGATGACCTTTTGCAGCCAGAAATTACAAGCTGAACTTTTTTGCTAGTCTTAAAAGAAGATAAAAAGAGTAAACAAGTTTTTATAAATGCGCTACTGGGCCTTAATGTACTTAATGAATTAACTGCGCATGAGTCATGGCATTTAATCGTTGGTTGTTGTAACGATAAAAAGAGCGAGTGAAAGCGTGTTTAATTTAACATCTACGAAATTGTAAATTAGTCGCTTTGATGAAGTTTGGCAAATTCGTGTGAACTGAACTTATCTAAAACTTACCAGCGGAAAGCGACAACGCTCATCAAAAGACAACTCGCAGATATTCTAATATTCTTCAGGCGTTGTTTTGTTGCGAATTACGCCAGAATTACAAGATTCTACTGATTCAGACTTCTCAAATTGTGTTATTTTTTTTATCAAAAAAAGTTCCAATAAAAAGTCTTGAAAATCAAAGATTTTTAAGGTGACGAAAAATTGTTTTCTGAAACTCAGGTTTTCTTTTAAAAATTTTTACGCTCGCGAGAATAAAGCGTTATGCGTTATCAAATCGGAACCATTTTTTTATGTGAACACATTTACTAACAGAATCATTCAATCATTTCGGAAGTTTTCTTTATTACACTTGCGAAAGCAAGTGTCTTGTAATCGGGGGCTTTTTTTCCCGTATAAAACTTCAAGCTTTTTCATGTATTAAAAGTTCTAATTGCTTTTCTTACTTGCTATTTTTATTGAATCTTAACAACTTCGAAGTTCATTCCCACTTGGCCTACAGCTAGCTTCGTCGCCTTTGCATTCTAAGGCCAGGGGTTTGAGTACCGGTCGGACCTTCTATTTTTTTGTGTGTTTGCAATTGAAATATCGGGAAAAAATGAATTGTCGGACTTTCCTTTGTCTGTCCAAGTTTTGTCGGCTTAGCTGCTACATTGCCACATCACGGAATTTGCTTGTGCTAAGCTGCTTTCATTGTAGTTGAGAAAGTGCAGTTGTTCAATGTAGTTCAAACTAAATTTTTCATTTTTTTTCGACTCAACTACTGTCTGCTCAAAGATTAACGTTCAAGTTCTGGAGATCAAAGGTTCGAATCCGGCCAGAACCTGTTTTTTAGCTTAAAAAATTTTCCCTTTGAAAAAAATGTATGTCTATATTTCGTCTGCTCAATTTTTGTCGGTTTACTTGCCAGTGCAGACGTTATTTGTGATTTTTTGTTTCGATTTTTTCGTTTTTCTAATCATTTTTAACAAAAAATTATAACAATTGGAAAATTTTGCTATCACTGTCGAGTATGAAAAGCAATTAGGACTTTTTATACATGAAAAAGCTTTGAGTTTTTTTTGTTCAGACCTTTTTTATCATACCACGTAGAAAAAAAACGATGCTTATTTGAATTTTTTTGTTATTTAAGGACTGTTCGGAACATTCGGTGCTACTTGCATCGAATGTTTACTACATGCCGATTCAATTTTTTTTTCAGATTGAAATGACATTTTGAAGCAAGTCAGTGATTCATGACAGGACCGATCCGATCAAATCAACAGCTGCACAACTAATTCGGCTTTAGCGGCTTACACGCACTGTAGCTTACAGGGGCCATACATATCACTATCAGGGAGCTATCTAATCTTAGTGTCTAAGCCCTCTAGCAGGGATGAGCGGCGGAGTTAACGGGAGAGGCGGAAGTGGGAGTGGTGGAGGGGGTAGGAATTTGCGCTACCAGTTCCACCCTGGTCGCAACTCATTCTTCTGCAACGGCAGGATCATCATGGCCAGACAGTACTCGGTGCTCATAGTCACTCTATCCCTCATTACGGGAACAGCCGGGCTCTTCTTCGGATTCGAGTCAGTACATCTCTTTTCTAAGCTAAAAACAAGTTGGGTTTTTTGATAGATCAGATTTAGTAGTTATAAGGGCGTATTTGATAGTATGGGTATATTTGATCGCAATTAGTAGTTATCTGAGTGATTTGACCCTTTTTTTATTATACGACATCCATTTTAGGCCGAACGAACCTAAACTTCGTCTAAAAGCGCTTCAGTTGCCAAAATATAGTAATTTTTGATGTGGACAGCGCGCAGATAAAAGCAATTTTTTTAGTCAAAACCTTCAAAAAGTGCCCAAAACGAGATTTTTGGCGTCTTTATTTATGAACTTGCCTGCGCTCGACCAAGTTTTTGGGTTTTTTATTTTGCCCCTCAAAAACATCCGCCCGTCGTGAGATTTTTTTTCAGATCTCGAAAGGTGTGCACACTGAAATGTTCTCAAATTTCATCTACTGTGTCAAATTGGTTTCTAAGTTTCGGGTTTCTAAGGTTCGTTTCCCAGTTGCGGAATTATCGGTCACATAATGTGTGTTCACAGTTGCCACTACTTGACGAAGCACGTCTCAGTCGCCATTCCAATTGTGGCAGTCATTCTCTACATATTTGTGGTGTCCGTCCTACTACGCTGCTCCCTCTCAGACCCTGGGTTCCTTCCGCGTGCCAGGCCAGACGAAACAAAGTTCATTGAAGCAAAAGGTAGCATAGTGATGTTCATTGAACCTCAAAGATTGAAACGCGACGATTACACCAGCTGAAAAGTATCAAGGGAGAACTTGGAACGTTTAGTTTTTTAGGTGTCATAAACTTTAAATTACATTTTGATTGGGAAAACAACGAAATTGAATAATTAAGTTAGGTGGTCGGTGGCATGAAGATGGTAGTTTGAACTTGTGTTATAGCTATGGAGACTCTGCCACCGCAGAGTGACCCGAACGTGTATAGGGCGCCCCCTCGTGTGATCGAGATTACGGTGAACGAGCAGACGATCAAGTTGAAGTACTGCTTCACCTGCAAGTTCTTCAGACCCCCCAGGGCCTCCCACTGCAGCATCTGCGACTGCTGTGTAGAGAACTTCGACCACCACTGTCCATGGGTGGGCAACTGCGTGGGCAAGAGGAACTACCGCTTCTTCTATCTCTTTCTACTCTCCCTATCCATCCTCACAGTCTATATATTCGTATGCAACGTCATTCACATGGTCCTCAGTTAGTATCAGACACTAGCATGTTACAAGCAGGGGAAGCACTTCAGATTTTTGAGTGGGAGGAGGGATTTTGAAGTTTTGTCGCTCTATCCAAGCTCTCCTCAAATCCTTAAAAGACATGTTTTTCGCAAAAATTCGTTCACCGCAGCATGAGTGTGTGAAAAACAGACCGAAAATGCCTTTGATGGACTTTTTTTGCAAGATTGTGTTATTAAAATAGCTGGAACTGTTCGCTTTTTCGAGGAAGCACTTTTCATATTTTCAAACAATTACGTTGATTTTAGTGTGCTAAAAAATAAAAAAACAATTAATCAATTCGACGTTTTTTTGCATATTAAGCTCTGTCTATTGGATCACATTTCGGCATTGTAAGTACATAGTTTTCTACAAATACGTTAATGACGGTTTTGTAACAGTAATACAAGATGTATTGTGATGGCGGATGATATGCTGAATTGTAGGGACGCAGAACACAAACTTCCTGGAGACCTTGAAGTACACTCCGGCAACTATAGTGGAGATGTTGATCTGTTTCTTCACTGTCTGGTCCATCCTGGGTCTGGCTGGATTTCACACCTACCTCGTGACCTCTTTCCTCACCACCAACGAAGACGTAACTAATCTCACTTGAAATCAAAGACGCCATTAATTCCTCTAGCCAATGCGTGAGTGATAGGTGTTTTCGCTCGCGGCCTTAGTCTGAAATACTCTACCTTGAAAAGCGATACGGTATATCTAATCTGCTTTTAAAAGTCAGTTAAATTTCAGGTGAATGTGTGATTTTGAAGTCTCAGTGTGTATTTGTTTGTTGCGCCTTAGATCAAGAGTGCGTGGACTCGGAAGAAGGATGGGAACGGAAACCCATTCGGACCAGGGGGCCTCATATCAAACTGTTGCGCTACTCTCTGTGCTCCCATGTCACCAAGGTAATCACAGTCAATAGACAATTGAGGAACAATAATTTTCTATTAAGTGTTAGTGCACCAAGTAAATTGTCGGGTGTTTTTAGGAACCTATTATAACTCATCTCGTGTTTTAGTTTATATTTTGGCGTTTTGAATAGGGAGGATCTTAGATTATCTCGCGGGGCGGGGGCATTTTTTAAAATAGTTTTTTTTTCAAGTCGAACAAATTGATTTTTGAGAGCTCCCCCAAATCACCATATAGACCGCTATTTTGACCAAATTTTTGAAAAATTATTTTTTAAAACAGCCAAAAAAACTTTCTTTTCATTTGCTTGTATTGCAAGTGTTGCGAGCCCCGCTTCGCTCTGTGAGTTAATTTATCAAAAAAGCGTCCTCAATGAAAGCTTATTTAAATTCAAAGGGCTTTGAGCTGATTGTAAACTGAATACATATATTTAAGTTGTGTGAATGTGAATATTTCTTTTTGTTCAGGAAATTTTTTTAAAAAAATTATCTACGCTGAAATTTGTTTCAATTTTTGCAAACTGGGGTAGAAAATCATTTTCTCGGCTTAAAAATTTTTCTGAATATAATGAAGTTTAAGGAGCTATAGCGTAAAATTTCGTAAAATGCTTAGAAAAACAATCTTTTTTATCCGGTTTCGTTCTTCACAAACGCATCACCTGAATTTTTTTTTTCGTCAGTAAGTTGGCTGTTCTACTAAGGCTATGATGTGAATATCAACTATGCGATTAGCTTCGTTGATTTTGTTCGAAGTCAATTTTTGTGTTTTAGTCTGTTGCTTCTCCGTTATCCAGTTACTCAAGAGCAGATCAACGAGTATGAAGCTGAGAAGAAGGAAGGTCAAAAACAGGCTGTGAGTTAATTAATGAAAAAACAAAGTTTTCGTCATTTTTGTGAGAGGGAGGAGAAACAGAGGCACGGTTTTTAGAGCTTCAATATGATATTTCACCTGGCCCCATGTAATATTTATTTGTTTTAGGTGGCTTTGCGTCAAAGCAAGAACACCTGAAACTTGTTAACCTTCACTTTTTTAAATTTGTTAAAAGGAAAGCTAATTCATCTATGGATCCTGTTTTCTCATATTAGGTTAATTTTATCAAAAAAAGTGTGTCATAAATTGTTCTAGAAATTCAAAGAGCTTTAAGGCCATCTATTTTTTTCTTCGTCAGTAGTTTTTTGTTCAATAGTGTTCATCGGCTCTTTTCCAACAGTTTGAAATTTCTATACCATTTGATAGATATTGATTGATTTTCGGAGCTCAAAATCAAAAAAAGTATTTCACCTGTGATTTTTTTTTGCTGATTTATGTAGGTTTATGATTTCCAATTTGAGATAATTCATATTAACCAGTAACGTAGGCAGAAACCATTCTAAAATGAACTGAGGCTAGTTTTTGATTTGATTACACATGCGAGCATGCAATTTCCAATGCAACTCAAAACAAAAGTAGTTTTTATCTTGGTGAGCTTTTTTGTCGCATAGTGTTGGCTGTTTAATAGCATGTGTTCTCCGCTATATGTTTTGATAGCTTCAAGAAAACATGCACAGGTGGACCGCGCGTAGGACTCTCAATCTCAAGGTTTAAAATATCATTTTAGTCAATATGGTGTGTGGTGGTATTTAAAACTCTGAAGAAAGTTTCAAAATTTGTCATTTCAAGTTTTTCATTATTTAGACGGTACTCGTTTCTTTTTTTTTTGCGAAATGCAACTTTGCCTCTGTGTAAAATTTCGATTTGCGTTGATAAGATAGGCAATTAGGATAAATAGCTGATAAAATGTTTTTGTCGTCGTCATTCATCCTCTTTTTGGTAACCCTAAATTGGTCTGAAAATCAAGAACCATTCAATTCAGATTAAAGTTGCTAAGCTCTGCTCGTAAATTGCTCAAGTCTGATTGGCTAAAAATTTCTTCCTTTAAACCAAGTTAACATCGTGGGGTGGAAGATATTAAATGCATGGGTGGAAGATAATATTTTGGTTTATCTTGGGGGATGATGTTAACTTGATCCAAATAGTTTTCCGGTAAGTTTTTCTCGACACAGAGAGGACTTGTTCGGAATTTCTAATTGTAGGCCGAATGACAGCTTTAGGTCTTCAAAACTTTTAAATAACTCGACTTTGTATTTTTTTGGACATTTTTTGTGGCACCTGATTTTGCGTAGGGGAATTGCACATGTTTTAGGACATATACTCAGAGTATTACCCGGCATACGAAACTAACAAGCCATACCCTGTACAACCTCCATCGTCTTACAACACCCTCAACGGGTCCTCACACCACAACTCCCAGATAGTAGTAACGTCAGCGCCCACTTCGCTTCAGCAGCAGACGCACCATCGATCGGCAACCATCACCCACACCTCAGTGATGGACCATCAGCAGATGGCAAACAACGGTGCTAACTCCTATCCTACCAACACGAACTACTACCCTCAGCAGATGGAAGTGCCCCTCAATACGCAGCCATACCCACCCCCTCATATGGCCTATCCGAGTATAATAGAAGAGCACCGTCCGTCGCCAGGGGCCATGTACACGTGAAGAAAGAGATGGAAACGAGAAAGGCATCCGGACATTTGCATATAATGACTGTTTTACTGCTTCTGAATTTGATAAATGTCTTTTTTAATTACCTCAATCAGAGAAGAGCTAATATACATACAAAATTAGTTACGGCAATCCAAAATTGAAAATGACGAGGGTCAATGATTGTGTAACGATATGACAACTTTCTTGCAGAAGAGTTAGGTAGCTCAACTGATTTTTTTTCGTTGTTTTGAACATATTGTGAACGCAACGTGGCAAAAAAATCAATATGTTAAAAAACCCTTTTTACAGAAATCGCTTCTCATCTAGTCAACAATATTTTCAAATTGGCTAAAATACTTTGAAAAGAACTATCAAATGAAAATTTTCAACCACAGTTTTCTGGAAACTTCTACTTTAGATAAAAGGCCAATTTTTACCTCTAAATAACCTTTGCGAAAAGCAAGGGACTTGCAAAAAAATCTTAGTATTTCAAAACAAATCCCGTTTTCCCGTTTATATTTTGCTCACCGGAGGCCTGAAAATTTTTCATCTGCATCTCCATTTCTACCCAAGTTGAACGTCTAACAGCTGTAGTTCAGCAGCTCGCTTAGAACTACTGAAGTGATTGGTACTTTTTTGTACTGCTGGAAAAAATCTTAGATATAAATTGACTTTTTGTCGGCTTTATTTATTTCGACCCAATTTTTTTCAGCTTACTTGCCGGGAATTTTATTTCTGACATTTTTGGGTGAGTTTTTGCTACTTCATTTTCTTGAAAGTTAATGTAGTTCGTGATTTTCTGGTTTTTTAGGCGCAAAATTTTATCTTAGAATTATTTTTGCGTTAAATTTTCCTTTGAACGCATTGTTTCTGATTTGCTTCTAAAAGTGCGTGGAACTAGGTTTAGGCTTGATTAGTTTGGTGTATTTTAGACTTGAGCAATTTTATTTTAAATTGATGGCTTAACGAATTGTTTCAATGTCGAAAAAATGATGAATCTCTAGAATTTATTTCTGCAAATTGGACTCGACTGTTTTTTCTGCAAAAGAATGTGGTGGCAAATTTTGCAGGAGATCTAGGAGTCTGGTTCTTTCTGGCTGAAATTTTTGAGAAAAAAGACTTCGTGTTTTTCATTTTTTCACTGGCTTTTTTGTAATGTTATCTTTTTGTGATCCAGCTCTCTTATCGTTGCATATAAATTTCATATTTGATAAGTTTTGGTGTAATTAGGTTATTTTTGTAGGTTTTGACTTTTTACAGGTTTTGTGCAAATTTTTTTTGTGGCAATCGTTTGTGTTTTTTGTGGCAATCGCTTGTAATTTTTTGTGGCAATTATTTGATAATGCCTTTTTTACCCCCAATTGTTCCTGTTGGATATGCAGGTTTGTTGATTGCAGGATTTAATGAGCAGTTTTTGAGCACATTTAGGAATTAAAGTATCTCAATTTTTTGATCAACATGCGTTATCGTTTCCATCCATTGGTTACCAGAAGGAAATGGATGGAGTTAAGACCAAATCTTTCTTTTGTTTCAGGTAATTGATTTCTATATCAATTGCAATATGATGTTCTTGATTTTTTAGCCAACTATTTTTTCAACAAAATTCAATTAAGTTTCTCACGCTTTCTTTCAAACATTATTTTTTTACTTTTGGCGCTTTGTGTGAAATCTGTTAGTAAGGTCTACAAAAATAGGTCTGACGAAAACACTAATTTCTTTCGTCATCTGTAAATGCATTTTTTTGAGAAAATTGTGATCCACGACGCTGGGTTTACTTATGAAGCAACAGGATGTGACTTTGATCTCCCTTTGTGACTTTCGAACAAAGAGGGAATATTTATGCTACGGGTGGAATTTTATTTAGTCAATTTTCAACTTTTTAACTATGCGTTTGACAGATATTTTCATACTATCTAAAAGTATTGTTGTCCGGAGCTTTAATGCCATCAAATTTTAGCTGATATTTTCGCAAAATTTTTTTGGTTTGACAATTGTCAATTTGGGATAATTGAAGTGCGATAGATTGTGTTTTTATAGAACGCGTAAACGGCGGGTTAATTCATTCCGAATTGAATTGAGGCCACTCATTTTGCCTTTTTATCAAGATGAGAGACGCTAAATACAACCTTCTCTTTTTTAAACAGCGTGTTGGGAGAAACTCGAAGAAGTAAAAAAGAAAAACACTTTTTTCTTATGCCTTGACCAATTTTGCAACCAAAAATTTAAATTGGCGTTAACATGCAGTCAAATCATTCAAAACTTCGTTTTGATATACCAGCAGTCATGTTCTCGCTTGATGCTGTTTTCGCAATTATCAAATACCTTGCGAAATGCAGCTTCGCTTTTGTGTAAATAGTAGGAGCCTGCGCATTGCTGCTTGGGTGTCTTTATTTACCAAAGTATGTCTAAGGATTATATTAGTGTCCTGAAATTTTAGTTCGATAGCTCATTTCTAATTTGGTTTTCCAGCTCTAAAACTTCAAAAGTTTCGCAGTGGAAACTTCAAGTGTTACACAATCATTGTAAATTTGAATATTCATTTGTGATGCAGTTCGTTTTCTTGCTTCCTCAAAAATGCCATTTACATGAATCTGATAGAACTTCTGATATTTTTTTTTCAAAATTTGCTTCGTCCAATTGTTAAATTACCCTTTTTCTATGCTGTTAACATTCATTCTGAATTAAACATAGACAAATTTAATTTTCACATTATTTTTTGAAACCCTTAATCATTGATTTCACTTCTTTTTTTTATATTAATTTGGAACATGGCCTTTTCAAGTGTATGAGCTTGAAGTAATTTTCACTTAAGCAGGTCTTGATGATTTCAGGAAGAAGTCTTAAAATGCTCTAATAACTACTGCAGTACATCATACATACTGAAGTACATCATCATACATGCATGCTTGAACGCACTTAGATATATAATGTTTTTTTTTGTTCAATTTAGGTTTGTTTGCTAAAAGGTAGGCATTATGAAAGCGAAAATGGCGTATAAAGACATTTTCGATTTCTAGTTTCAAACGTGGATTTTAAGTTTTAGATTTTCCAGTGGAATAAAAATTTCACCCATTGATAGTTTTCTCAAACTGGGTTTATTTTTATGAACAGTTCTTGAAATTCAAAGAGCCTTATCTTAATATATTTGTCTTCTGCGAAAATTGAATTATGTTAAAAATTTGTATTTTTTTGGTTTCCTAGTTCTTTTGCACTTCCGTTGGCTATTTTTTCTATCTAAACAACTTGATTAAGAGAACCAGGGAATCATTTTCTCTAAGGCTGAATTTCGTCAGCGAACAGACATTTTTTGAGAATGTATGCTTTTTAAGTAGCCGTTACATTTATTTTGTGTTGTAAATTGCCAGCTCCGATTACGAAAAATTTTCGTTGATAGTTTAACATTCAATTGTCTTACTTGACACGTTTTTCTAAATGAATTTTTTCAATGCAGTTCGAGATAAACATGAAGTTTCTTTACAGCGTTTTTTTCCGATATCGATTGTTAAAAAGAATCAATGTAATTGGCATTTTAATTCGTTTTTTGGCCAGGTTGCCTCTCTAGTTTGAATATTTTGAAAAATCTTTGTAATAATCAATTGAGTTAATATTTCAAATCTCTCTGGAAACATAACAGTGATGAAGTATAAAAGAACGAAGTCTTTCATTTATATAGGTGATGGTCTTTCTGGTTGTTCACAATCACATTTGGTTTTTCGCTGCTGGACGTTTGATCTGTCTATTCTATTTTAAAATGCGCGTGACTGCTATCTCTCCGTGTTTAAGCTTCAATTTCGCATGTTAAACAAAGAACTTTTGCGCGTTTAAACTATATCGTATATCAATGCATGCAATTGTTTTTCAATTCTCCAGGTTAGGAATGCTAGGTCTATTTAAAGGCCTAATTGCAAGGCTATGGTAATATTTGGGAGGAGGAGAGCAGCGCATTTTAGTATAAGTTTAAGTTTGGATTAATCCATCTATACATCATTTAACACGCACTTTTCGTTTCAGTGTTTATTTCAGCAAATTGAAATTAGTGACCCTATAATGGTGGGTTGCTATCAGGGTAATCTCAGGGGTTGCTAATATTGCTACCAAATATAGCTGCTCAAATCTTTTTAGTTTCCGAGATATGACGGTTTTATGTTCTTATAACTGTTTTTTTGAATCTTAGATTTGAAAAGCTTGACAAAATTTGAACGCTATAGTGGGACTTTGCCAGGGAAGTCTAGTTTTTTGCAAGTTTTGCCTCAAAATATGTCAGCTCAAACTTTTTCATTTTTCCGAGAAATGACGTTTTTTGTTTTTCTGAAAGTTTTCCAAAAATTTTAGATTTAAAACTCATGTCAAAGTGCGAAATTCCCAACCCTATAGTGGGGTTCTATAGGAGTGCCCTCAGGAGTTGCAATTTTTGCCTCCAAAAATGACTGCTTATATTCTTTAAGCTTCCGAGATTTGTCGTTTTATACAATTTGAAAGATTTCATTAAAATTGCTTTTGAAAAATTACACGAGGTCTGAAGTTCTTATTTCTGTAGTTGGGTGCTGTCCAATTGCTATCAAAAAATTGTGATGTCTTGCCTCCAAAAGTGAAAACTGAACGTCTTTATACTCGACTTAAGGCGTTCTTTTGATTTTTCAAAACTAAAAACCTAATTGTTTCCAACATTAAAAAAGTTTCCTCAAAATTTGAAGTTGTCGATCTTTTGGTGGAGTGATGTCAGGGTACTCACAGCAGTTGCAATTCTTGCCTGTATACGATGATTACCTGAGTGTTTTTAGATTTTGTGAAGTGGCTTTTTTATTTAGAAACATTTTTTCAAAAGCTCAGATTTATTTTTTTCACATTTTGAAGTCTTTGCCCTTGGCGATGTTATGTGAAGTTACTTACTCATAGAGAATGCAGATGTGGCCTCCAAATTTCATACTCTGATCAATTCAGTGATCTCTGATCCACAAAGCCATACATCTATCCATCGGTCCTGCCATCCATGCAATCTTCGACCCCTCCGACCGTCTTGCCCCTAACAATATTCCCTTGCATCCAACCAACCAGCCATTAATCCATCCATCAAGCCACCATATTTCTTGTTCTCGATTGATCAATCCTGCCTTCCGTTCATCCATTCAACCAGTCTTCTATCAATCAATATAGACCTCCGTCAATCCTGCCATCTATTCATCCATCCAATGATCCGCCCATTTCAGCCAGTCATCACTCATTCGTCCCGCATATATCCATGCAGCCGTCCATGAGCGATCTAGCTATCAATCCAACTTGCCAACTCT